GGGCTCAGAATTCAAAAGTTATTAAGAAAACTGAAGCCGGTTTGGCTCAGTGGATAGAGCGTCAGCCTGCGGACTGAAAGGTCCCAGTTTCAATTCCAGTCAAGGGCATGTACCTTGGTTGCAGGCACATCCCCAGAAGGGGGTATGCAGGAGGCAGCTGATCGATGTTTCTCTCTCATCGATGTTTCTAATTCTCTCTCTCTGTAAAAAATCAATTAAAAATATATTTTAAAAAAGTTATTAAGAAGGATGTGGGCCCTGTAGGGCTTGGTGAATGACTGGCTAGGTAGGGGGTTTTGAGATTGTTAAAACCGTGAGCCATTGTAAGTTAAGAGAGAGGCCAGTTGTAATCACCGGGAGTCATCATGACTCCTTTGCATTACTGTAAAAAGTTAAGGCAGGGAAAAAGGTATACTAGATGCTCACCATAGTCAGCAAGGGTGCCTATGATCTCTCTGCTCTCGGAGACCTCTGGGAATGTGGTAGGCATCTGCGGTGACTCAGGTCTATGTTGTTTCACATAAATCCAGCCAAGCAGATGACCACATCATAAGTGCATTGGCCAATTCATTAATTCACTCAGGCATACATTATATTGACCAAATATTTATGGAGCTTCCCTACTGGTGGGAGCGGATAAAGGAGGGAGAAATTGTACATGAAGTAAACAGATATACTTTCAGATGGAGGAAAGCGTAGTTAGAAAATGAAAACAAAGTGAGGGAGAGGGCCTGGGTAGGTGGGTTGCAGGAAGTGGCTTTAAAAACAGCAGATTGAGAAGGCTGGCCAGGAGGTAAACTGAGAGCTTTGCCTGGAAAATATGGCACATGTGGTTAGAGCAAAGCAAGTCATGCAGAGAGAGGGAGATGTGGTTGCTGAACAGACGAGGTCAGAGCAGTGATCTATGGTTACAGGAAAGGGTTTATAGAAACATATTTCTTAAGTCACATGACTCCCCCATAGAGTTGTCCAAACCAGATCTGTACCTTTTCTTAACTTCAGCTCACTCTCTGCTCTCCTCAGGAGATCCCAGGGGATGGCACTGAGGCAGGAGCTGGTTTGGCTGCCAGCCTTGTTGAAGCCACATCCTTTACTGAGATGACTATAGTAGCCCCTAGGGCTGGGCCCCCTGCTTTGAGACCCTCTCCTCAAAACCTTCAGTTCTACCATGTCACAATGAGGAAAAGCCAAAGTGCTGACAGTGGCAGCAAGGCCCGCCCCAATCTGGTCCCTCTCTCTCCTCACTATTGCACCTCCTATGCCTTTCCTGCTTACTACTCTGCTCCAGCCACAGTGACTTCCTCCTGTTACCAGAACACACCAAACACGCCCAACCTCTAGGCCAGTGTTCCCCAAAGTGTGGCACGTGTACCCCCAAGGGTACGGGAAGAGTTTGGTGGGGGTACGCGTTGCACCGGAGTTTGGTGGGGATATGCACTGCACCATGCTTAGCTGAACCTAATTCTACGTTCTCGTGAGTACGAGGGGTACTCAGCATTACGAAAATTACAGAAGGGGTACACATATGTCAAAAGTTTAGGAAACACTGCTAGGCCAAGTACTGCATGGCTGGACCCTCACTTCAGGTCTTGGTTCCTGTGTCAAGGGTTCCCAGGACCACACAGATCTGAAGATTTGCTAGAAGGACTCACAGAATTCAGTATACCCATGGTTATAATCTATTACAGTCAAAGGGTACCAAGCAAAATCAGAAAAGGGAAGGTGCAGGAGGGGAACTCTCAGGAGGCCATCAGGTGCAAGCTTCCAAGACTCTTCTTCTTCCTGTGCTGTCCCATGGGATGGACTTAGCGTTCCTGCAATGCGTTGGGATCACACTGTAAAACATTGTCTACCAGGGCAGCTCAGTGCTCAGTGCTCAGCATTTTTATTGGTAGCTGGTCACGTAGGCAGCCTCTGCCTGGCATAGCCCAGAATCCAGACTCCCAGAAAGACAGCAGGGGTCCAGCATAAAGCACATGGTTTGCCCAGTTTAGGTATGGTGAGCCATTCTCCATGGGGATGATAGGAACCCTCCTGATGTTCCTAGAAGCCACCTAAGGCCAACCTGGCAAGCAGGCCTTTCCTAGGATAGTATTCTTTCCTGAAGAGCACCTGCTCAGTGGGCCCTTCTACCACCATCCTATTTAAAATGGCAACTTGCTGGGAAACCATAAAAATACTAGAAGCATCCACAGGCAACAAAATCTCAGACGTATGCCAAAAGAACTTCTTCACAGATACTGCCCCTAGGGCAATGGAAGCTAGAGAGAAAATAAACAAATGGGACTACATCAAAATAAAAAGCTTTTTTACAGCAAAAGAAACCATCAACAAAACAACAAGAAAGCCCACGGTGTGGGAGAACATATTTGCAAATAATACCACTGATAAAGGTTTAATCTCTAACATTTACAGACAGCTTATACAACTAAATAAAAGGGAGATGAATGATCCGATTAAAAAATGGGCAATGGACCTAAATAGAATATTTTCAAAAGAAGACAGAAGGAAGGCCAAAAGGCACATGAAAACATGCTCAAAGTCACTAATTGTCTGAGAGGTGCAAATCAAAACAACAATGCGGTACCATCTCACACCTGTCAGAATGGCCAACATCAACAAATCAACAAACGACAAGTGTTGGCGAGGTTGTGGAGAAAAAGGAACCCTCGTGCACTGCTGGTGGGAATACAGACTGGTGCAACCACTGTGGAGAACAGTGTGGTTTCCTCAAAAAACTGAAAATGGAACTCCCATTTGATCCAGTAATCCCACTTCTAGGAATATATCCCAAGAAACTAGAAACACAAATCAGAAAGGATATATGCACGCCTACGTTCATAGCAGCACAATCTACAATAGCTAGAATCTGGAAACAGGCTAGGTGCCCGTCAGCAGATGATTGGATCCAAAAACTATGGTGAATCTATACAATGGAGTACTATGCTGCCATAAAAAAGAAGGAATTCTCATCATTTGCAGCAACCTGGATGGAATTGGAGAACATCATGCTGAGTGAAATAAGCCAATCAATGAAAGAGAAACACCACATGACCTCACTCATTTGTGGATGATAAAGAACATTATAAACTGATGAACCAAGAGACAGATATAGAGACAGTAAAGCAACAGGCAGACTGTCAAATTACAGTGGGGAGGGGAGGAAGATCTGGGGGAGATAACAGATCAACCGAAGGACTTGTGTACATGCATATAAGTACAACCAATGGACATAAAACTCTGGGGAGGGAGGGTGTATATGGGAGGGAGGGAGGAGGGCAAAAAAAAAATCAATAAAATATATTTTAAAAATAATAAATTAATTAATTAATTTTAGAAAAAAAACCAAAAAAACCCATGGTAAGTCCTGTCAGTGGTCCGATGTAACCCAAGTCTGCCTGTATTCACTCTGTGTAATCACCTTTCACTGTATGTGGGCTGGATCTAGTGACTCCCTTCTAGCAATAGAATAAGACAACAGGTGACTGACTTTCATCTGGCTTGAGTGTTCTCTTGAAGTCACTACCTCCCTTGCTGACTCTGATGAAGTCATCTGCTGTGTTGTGAGCTGCTTGAGGTCCACATGGCACGGAACTGAGGGCCGCCTCCAACGCACAGCCAGCAGGGATCTTAAGCCCTCAGTGCACCAACCTGCAAGGAACCAAATCTGGGCCATGCCATTTGAAGGAGACAGGAAATGGATCCTTTCCCAAATAAGCCTTGAGGTGATGATAACTTCTCCTAATGCCTTGATTGCAGCTGGTGAGAATCCCAGAGACACAGGACCTGGTTAGGCCTCACACAGATTGCTGTCCTACAGAAACTGGGAGATGGTCACTGTTGTCTTTTCAGTCCACTAAATTATTCAGCAACAGGTTACTAAGACAGGCAAAAAAATAAATAAATAAAAATAAAAAATAAAATGGCAACTTGCGCTAAAACTGGTTTGGCTCAGTGGGTAGAGCGTTGGCCTGCGGACTGAAAGGTCCCAGTTTCAATTCCGGTCAAGGGCATGTACCTTGGTTGCGGACACATCCCCAGTGATTTTCCCTCATTGATGTTTCTAACTCTCTGTCCCTTTCTCTTCCCTCTTTGTATAAAATCAATAAAGTATATATATATATATATATATATTTTTTTTTAAATAAATAAATAAAATGGCAACTTGCTCCACCCACACTCCTTGTCCTCCCCTTCCTGTTTGATTTTTCTTCATGGCAGTCATCACTATCTAAGGTATTTGATTGTTGTCTCCTATTAACATGTAAGCTTCATAAGGGCAGGGGGTTTTGCTTGCTTTGTTTCTCACTGAACTCTCAGTACCTGGATGCTGCTTGGCACATCGTTAGCCTCAGTAACCTGTGAGGATTGAAAACAGGAAAATAATGTACATGTGGTTAGAACAAAGCAAGCCATGCAGACGGAGGGAGATGTGGTTGCTGAACAGACGAGGTCAGAGCAGACAGTGAGCTATGGTTACAGGAAAGGGTTTATAGGGACATATTTCTTAAGTCACATGACTCCCCCATAGAGTTGTCCAAATCAGATCTTTACCTTTTTTTTTTTAACTTCAGCTCACTCCCTGCTCTCCTCAGGGCCACATGTCTGTCCTTTTTCCTTTGCCATTTAGTTGACAGTGGGACTCAGAGTCTCCTCTTCTATCAGTATAACACCTCTGCCCTAGAGGTTATCACATTGTAATCATTTAATTACTTGTATAATTTATTTAATATGTGAGTCCTACATTAGGCAGAAAGTTTCTAGCTTGTTAACACTGTGTCCTCAGGGCCCATCCCAGAACCCAACAAAGACGTGAATGAATGACTTGTTTTGCTTCAGAGTGACAATGGCCCTGGGTTAGGCCAGATTTCCTGGGAAAGGAAGAGCCTGCCCAGATTCCCTAGCCCCAGGCTTTCGGCCTAAACCCTTAACCGGCGTCTCCTTAGCCTCTCTCTAGGGTTGGAGCACGCAGTGTCAGACACGGCTGTCATGCTTTGCAGGAGTCCTTGGAAAAGGCCCAGCTGCTTGCAGTAATCGGGGACCAGTTCATCCAGAGCCACCACTATGCGGCGGACTCCATCAGGCCCAAGTGCGTGGAGCTCAGGCACCTCTGCGATGACTTCTCCAATGAAAACAAGAAAAAACACGACATTTTAGAGAAGTCTCTGGAATTACATAGACAGCTGGACAAGGTGAGCAAAACAAAGCTGTGACCATGATGCCTGCAAAATTTTCTGTGAAGCAGTCTCTTAAAAAAAAAAAAAAAAAAAATATATATATATATATATATATATATATATATATTGGTTTTTTGTTTTTGTTTTTGTTTTTTACTTACAGAAAGGAAGAGAGAGGGATAGAGAGCTAGAAACATCAATGAGAGAGTGTCATTGACCAGCTGCCTCTTGCACACCCCCTACTGGGGTTTTTTCCTCAACCAAGTACATACCCTTGATTGGAATCAAATCTGGGACCTTTCAGTTCGCAGGCCGATGCTCTATCCGCTGAGCCACTCCGGCTTCGGCTGTAAAGCAGTCTTAATCAGACTTGACCTCCCTGCCCCACATGGTTGCTGAGAAGATAAACAACTTCATGGGAAACAGAACCCAAGAGGCATTAGTTGCAGATTCTAGGTCACAAGGGTATTGAAGGTCAAAAGTGCCTCAGTCATCCCACCACATCCTATTAGAATGAATTGTGTCTGCTTCTCTGGGTGTGGACCCAGACTTAAAGAGTGTGCTCTGGTCCTAGCTGGTTTGGCTTAGTGGATAGAGTGTCAGCCTGCGGACCAAAGGGTCCCAGGTTCAATTCCAGTCAAGGGAATGTACCTCAGTTGCAGGCTCCTCCCCAGCCCAGCCCTGATTGGGGCACATGCAGAAGGCAACCAATTGATATGTTTCTTTCACATCAATGTTTCTCTCTGTCTTTCCCTCTCTTCCAGTCTTTCTAAAAATCAATGGAAAAATATTCTCATATGAGGATTTAAAAAAAAGGAGTGTGTTCTGGCTTGGCACTGTGGGACATTTTTTTGGTTCCCCTTCAAGCATACAGAGACTGAGCCCTATATTTGCAGTGCTTCTTCTCATCTGAAGGCCTTGGAATGTGAATCCTTTGGGAAAAGCTTAAGTTATAATGGCCATTTATACATTCCTACCACTTATAGAGTTCCCAGTGGGAGCATAGTTATGTCATCTAATCCTCAAGATAAATTATGAGGAAGGTATTAACGGCCTCATTTTAGAGGCAGAAACTGATATTCAACGTGGTTCAGTCCAAACGTTGCAACACTTAGTGCGTGAGAATTTCCAGGTGAGCTTGCTCTATTGCAGATTCCCTGGTTTATCACTCTGGAGACTGAGATTCAGTAAGTCTCGGGGGTGGGGTGTGGTGGGGGGGTGCCATAGAATCCATGTTTTCAGCAAGGGCCCCGGTGATTTTGGTGCAGGTGGTACAGGGACACACTGAGAAACCCTGAGGTAAGTGACGGCCCAAGACCGGACATGGAGGAAATAGGGGATTGCAGATTTGAAGTCAGGACTGCCAATTCAAATCCCAGACTCTAGACGCTAGACAGCAATGCTGTGTGAGCAGAGGGCGGGCAGGGAGGGAGGGCAGCCTCGGGTGCCCTTTGGCAGTGATCTCTTGGACAAGTGCCTGGTCAGCAGGGGCAGTGAGTTTTGGAGCCTTCCCTGCCAGCTGTTTCCAAGCAGCACGTGGCTCATGGCCATGAGTGGGAAGCTCCATTCCTACAGCTCTTTCTCTGTGGTGACTGTCATCCCATTGCCAGAGGGGTTTTAGTGTCAGTGAAACCCAGCTGTTCCAGAAGCACGCGGTTCAGAGGGACCCGGTGCGCAGTCTGCTCTGTGGACTGAGCTCTCTGCAGGATCAACCACTGTTTCCCTCAGTCCATGTCTGCTCCAGAGATCACAGCCTCATGCTGAGCTGAGTGTGTGTGTGTGTGTGTGTGTGTGTGTGTCTGGGAAAGCAAGTAGTTGCTGTGACTGCAGAAGACCCTAGCTTAGTGTTTTCTGCAGATCTAGGCATGATGTTTCAAGACAAGGTTTTCACAGTGTATATTAAAGCATGACTTCCTGTTACTTTGAAAATCCAAAATTGTAGGAAAGAGAAGGGAAGAAGTTACTGGTGGATGCCTACACATCCTACTTCCCTTCTCATCCCTACACAGTGATAATTATTAATTTTTAAATATATTTATTGGTGTGTGTGTGTGTTATTCTAAAATTAGTACACATTCAATGTAGATAATTTAGGGGGAAAATAAAAGACCGATGTAAGTTGCCTGTAATTTCCCACTTAGCGGTAACTCCTCTGGAGTGCTTTCCCCCTGTGTAGTTACTTGACATAGCTCTTCAGGTCTCCTGGAATGGAAATGCAGGTGTACTTGCTCTGGCAGCTCATGTAAATATTCAGGCATCACCAGGGCCCTCGTCTCTAAAAAGTTGAACCGTTAGAATTCATCACCTACCTGGTTTCATCCTAGCATTCTGGAAAGTGTGAGTACTGCTGCTCTGAGCTACAGAATTTTTCATTCTTGGATGCTTCCCTGGGAAAGACAAATGACAATGAGTGCAAATGTGGAAAGAGGAAAGTCTTTTTGTTAAAAGGACAGTCCCTCCTGCAGCAAAATGCGTAGGGGCCAGGTCTGATGCTTCATTAGTTATTGGTTACCCTGTGCTCTTGTAACCAGTTAGGAGGTAAGACAAGTGGCCTAGAAGGTCGTCCCGAAAAGTCATTGGTTACATTTCTCTGTCGTGAGACCAAACATAGAAGAACTTGCCTTTCTCCTCCTGGAGGGGTAGTAATTGCTGTCACTAGAAAAGGGCAGAATGTTTACACGATTCATTTTATTGGTTGGGTGACTTCCCTGAGAAGTGGACAGATGTCAAATTGGTTTGAGTTTGTCCACCTCACAGTTGTATTTATGGGGGTCAGACCTCTCGACTTGATGCTGTCCCACAGCAAGTTCCCAGTGTCCCGGAATCCTGGGAGACCCCGAGGGACTGTGGTGGCTGAGCTGCGTGCGGTCAGGCTAACTGCCCGGGGCACTGTGTTCCTTTCCAAAAGGTCAGCCGGTGGTGTGAAGCGGGGATCTACCTCTTGGCTTCCCAAGCTGTAGACAAGTACCAGTCTCGAGAGGGTGTTGACGTCGCCTTGACCGACATCGAGGCATTCCTGGACACAGCGAGGGAGGCCACGCTGCCCAGCCCCAAGGAGATTTACAACCAGTTTGAGCTGATTCTCACCGCTGATGTAAAGGTAATGGTGGTGCGTTATTTTCATCCTGTGGTTTGGAAGGAGGCATGGGGGGCCTTTGCCTGTTGCTGAAGGAAGTCCAGGCAGGATACACCGAGCGGGTTAACCAGTTCTTAAGCCCTCAGGGGGCCTTTTAGACTCCCGGCAAACCGCTTCTTGGCAGTCTGACTCAGTCATTCATTTCTCTACAAATCTTCACGAGCATCTCTCATGTATCGCGCACTGTGCCAAGAACCCACAGCAAACAGAAATAGACACGGCTCCTTCCTGCATGGAATGTACAGGGTAGTGGGAGAGGTGGACATTAATAAATGTCAAACACAAAACACACACACAAAAAAATGTGTTCCAAGCTGAAGTAAGTGCTCTGGAGTGGGGAGTCAGGGTCCTATCCGGTATGTGACAGCGGAACTTGACCTGGACCGGGGGTCACTTGAAGCAAGGTCTAGAGAAGATGGGGGTCCTTTTCAGTCCAAAGGAACGGCGTGTGCAGAGGCCGTGGGGCTGGAGGGAGCCTGGCACTCTGCAGAACTCCAGGGGCAGGGTGGCTGGAGAACAGAGAGCAAAGAATGTTTGGGGTAAGATTATAGAGGGAAAGACGAGGTGGGGCTCTGTGGGCCATTTTAGGAGCCTGGCCTTTCTTCTGAGAGCAGCGAAAGCCACTACAGAATTTAAGCAGGGGAATACCTTGATCTGATTTGCATTTGAGAAGGAGCCCTCTTCTGGGAAGCCAGCGAGTTACGGATAGCACGCCTTCTTCTGATACCCCATCACTTCACACATACCTCTGCTCGAAAGGCTTCTTCCCCTCTTTTGAGTCATGGACCCTTTTGAGAATCTGATTCACCTATTTTTAGAGAGCTTGATGTAGGCAGTTTTTACAAAGGTACAGGCAGGATTTAGGGAATCCAACAGGGATGGTGAAGCCCTTTGGGGCTAGCAAGAAACAGAGAGCAGTTACAGCCCAAATCCTGAAAGGCAAAGGGGACCTAGGAAGTGATGCAGCTGTGACTGTAAGAGAGGCAGCTAGTAAGGGCTGTGGCCTTGGGCAGAGGAATACTAGACACTGGTGGAGAAATATATACCACTACACTGAAAGGTCACAGGTTCGATTCCCAGTCAGGATGCATGCCCAGGTTGTGGGTTCTATCCCTGATCAGGGTACATGTGGGAGGCAACCGATTGATGTTTCTCTCTCTCCCTCTCCATTCTTCTCTCTCTAAAATAAAATTTTTATATAAAAAAAATAAAACAACTGTCGTTGGTTTGGCTTAGTGGATTGAGCATTGGCCTGTGGACTGAAGGGTCCCGGGTTTGATTCTGGTCAAGGGCATATGCTTGGGTTGTGGGCTCGATCCCCACAGTATATAATAAAGTATGTACTTTAATAATTTTGTACTTTATTTAATAAAGTATGTACCTTGTTTACTAATTTTGTACTTTATTTAGTAAAGTATTTACTTTAATAATTTTGCACTTTATTTAATAAAGTATGTACTTTATTTAATACTTTTTTAAAAATCAGAATAATGTATCAATATTGATTGATTAATTATAACAAATGTACCATAGTAATGTAAGCTCCAAATGTACCACAGTGGAAACTGAGTGTGAAATATATGGAAACTCTTTATACTATTTTGCAATTTTTCTGTAAATCTGAAACTATTCTAAAAAATAAAACTTGTTTCTAAAAAGCTGGTACTCTAAGTCTAAAAGGCTGAATCTGCTACATTTAAGACATAATTATCAACACAACATCAGCCATTACACTGTTGTTCTTGTAGCAGCCACCTTGTCTCTGAGGCTCCTCGAGGCATTTCCCTACATGGCGATTGAGCTGCCCCCTTAGTGCGGCTGTTTTGATTTTTCTTCCTCATTCACTCTCAGCGCCCATGTAGAGAATGAAACAATCTCAGTAGCAAACAGCAACATTCAGTTCTTCAGATGTTTACTGGGTACCCAGTTTGTGCTTTATCCTGATAATACAGTCCCATACAGAGCCTGCAGTCATGGTGCTGACAGTGGAGTGGAAGACAAACATTTTGCTAAAACCGGTTTGGCTCAGTGGATAGAGCGTTGGCCTGCGGACTGAAAGGTCCCAGGTTCGATTCCGGACAAGGGCATGTACCTTGGTTGCGGGCACATCTCAGTGGGGGTGAGTGCAGAAAGCAGCTGATCGATGATTCTTTCTCTTTCTCATCGATGTTTCTAACTCTCTATCCCTCTCTCTTCCTCTCTGTAAAAAAAATCAATAAAATATATTTTTTTTAAAAAGAAGACAAACGTTTCCTAGGTCCAAGTGCATTTGAAATGGAGGGGCAGAGGGGCACACAAGGCAGGCAGTGGTCAGGATCAAGTATGAAGAGGCTGGTGCTGCAGGATGAGACGTGAGGTGTTACTGCAGGGCTTTTAAACAAGTGAGTTACATGATCAGATTTAGATTTCAGAAAGATAATTCTGAAAAAAAAAGAAAAAATAATTCAGATTGTGATGTGGAGAGTGGACTTGCAAGTAAAAAATAGGAGATGCCAAAACTGGTTTTGCTCAGTGGATAGAGAGTCGGCCTGCGGACCAAAGGGTCCCAGGTTCGATTCCGGTCAAGGGCATGTACCTTGGTTGTGGACACATCCCCAGGAGGGGGTGTACAGGAGGCAGCTGATCGATGTTTCTTTCTCATTGATGTTTCTTTCCCTTCCTCTCTGTAAAAATCAATAATTATATATATATATATATATATATAATTTTTTATTTTTTATTTTTTATTTTTTATTTTTTTAAATAGGAGAAAGGGAGAATAGGAGAAATGCAGTTGTTAATCTTGTGTCCACCTCCCCCCGGTTTGAGCTTAGGAATCTGAATGCCTCCATTTAACTCAGTGAACCATTTGCACTGTTCACTCTGGGGTCTAAAGGGATAGATGCAAAAGGGCAAAGATGATTCGAGTCCTGCCTGGTCCATGTGGTGAGTCGTTGGGGTCTAGCATGTTGCACTGACCTCACACCGGGGCTGCATAGTGTCCATCACCAATTTGACAGTCATTCATTCCATCAGATTTCTTCTTTCTGCAGCAGCTAACAGCCACGTCTGTTTCCTCAAACTCATCGCTGGGCCACAAAGGCAGGTAGTAGTGGCTGATCACCAGTTCTAATCACCATCAGACTGGCATTGCCGTCCCCCTGACGTAAGGGAATTCGGTTTCTTCTCGGACTTGGACTCATAGCGGTGCTCTCAGAACCCCGAAGCCAGGGGCACCTTCTCTGAAAGGACTCTTTAATCACAGACCCGCAACGTAATCTAGCCCAGGGGCCCGCAAAGTATAGCCTGTGGCCAGAGGGGCTTGCCATCTACTTTTGTACGTCAAGTTCCATCAGAAACTCATTCGTTTCTGAATTCTCTGTGTTCTATGACTGCTTTTATGTAGCAACAGCCAAGTACAGTAGTTACCTCAGGGACCAGATGGTCTGCAAAGCCTGAAGAGTTTCACTGTTTGGACCTTTACAGATTAAGTTTGCCAAACCCTAGTCTAGACCAACCTGTCCAATAGAAATATAGTGCAGCCTGGCTGGTGTAGCTCAGTGGTTGAGCATCAGCTCAGGAACCAAGGGGTCACTGGTTTAACTCCCCGTTAGGGCACATGCCAGGTTGTAGGCTTGATCTCCACTGGGGGGCGTGCAGGATCAGCCAGTCAATGATGCTTTTCTCTCATCAAAGTTTCTATTTTTCTGTCTCTTTCCCTTCCTCTGTCTCTAGAAATCAATTAAAAATATTAAAAAAAAAAAAAAGAAATATAGTGCAAGTCACATATGTGAGCCAATGAGATTTTCTAGCAGCCACATTTTAAGAAGTGAAAAAGAAACAAGTGAAATCATGTGTAACAATGTTTTATTTAACCTATATCTGAAACATCATTTCAACATACCATTGATGTAAAAAATCAGTGAGATATTTTATGTTCTTTTTGCATTCGAAGTCTTCAAAATCCAGTGTGTGGCTGAAACTGGTTTGGCTCAGTGGACAGAGCGTCAGTCTGCAGACTGAAGGGTCCCAGGTTCGATTCCAGTCAAGGGCATGTACCTTGGTTGCAGGCACATCCCCAGTGGGGGGAGGGGGGTGCAAGAGGCAGCTGATGGATGTTTCTTCCTCATCGATGTTTCTAACTCTCTCTTCCTCTCTGAAAAATTCAATAAAACATATATTAAAAAAAAAAAATCCAGTGTGTGTTTTCCACAGCTCAGTTCACACTGGACACATTTCAGGTGCTGAAGAGCTCAGGGACTAGCGGTTACTATAATACATGGACAGTGCAGGTCTGCACTCAGGCTCTCCAAAGAGTGCGATGAGCCCTAGCTCTTGGTGCAGACGTCAGCCTTGACAGGGCGGTGTTGTTCCGAGATTTCCGTGAGATTCCGTGATCCCCAAGACCAGCAGGGAGCCGAGTCCGATGCAATAAACAAAAGAGCCTCTTATCCATGCTAGCATGGGCTCTGTCTCACTCACGCCTACAGCATGGTGGAAGAGAGCACGAATTTCGCCAAGCCCAGGGGTTTTACACCGGTGGTGATGTCACTGCTTTGGCTGACCCTGATTGGGCTAGGGTCCAGTTAATGGAGGATAACTCCGCCCTGCCCCACAGTGGAATCCGGAGTTTATCCTCACCCTGCCCTGCCCTCTCAGTGGAACAGTTTTTCTATAACTGACACTTCTGGCCTGCCTCTGAGATACTGGCTCCTTCCCTCAGAAAATGGCCCAGCATAAATACATACATACATACACACATATATACATACATACATACATAAAGACAAATTAACTTTCCAGTTGCAAAATTGGTAACCTTTGTGGGTGTGTGCTGAACTTGTACTTTCAGAATTAGACATCCTCAAAGCACCCTGCATAATTCTTTTAATTCTGGGTCCCTTTTTATGGTTAAAATCATCTACAAGCCGAAACCAGTTTGACTCAGTGGATAGAGTGTTGGCCTGTGGACTGAAAGGTCCCAGGTTCGATTCCGGTCAAGGGCATGTACCTTGGTTGCAGACACATCCCCGGTGGGCGGTGTGCAAGAGGCGGCTGATCGATGTTTCTCTCTCATCGATGTTTCTAACTCTCCCTCTCTCTTCCTCTCTGCAAAAAATCAATAAAATATATTTTTTAAAAATCATCCACGAGACAGATGCCAGAGTCAGCAGGACAAAGAAAAAGTATCCACTCTCCGTGATCCACCAGAGCTAGAGGGATGTCATGTAGCAAAAGAAACATTCAGCTGAATTCAGGCTGTGGTGAAACTCAGACATCTGGGTCTTGTTGCTTATTTCCTGAGCCCCTGCTTTAGAGCACTGTAGTTAGTTTTGGAAATGTCTGTGGGTTTCATTTCTCCCCTGGTATTTCTTCAGTTTATTTCTTTCCTACTTACATAGAAGGAGTCACACTGAATGACACTTAAATTCTTTATTGATTTCAGAGAGGAAGGGAGAAGGAGAGAGAGAGAAACATCAATGATGAGAGAGGAACATCGATCGGCTGCCTCCTGCACTTCCCCTACTGGGGATCAAGCCCACTCAGGAACCAAGGGGTCACTGGTTTAATTCCCCATTAGGGCACATGCCAGGTTGTGGGGGAGGGGGGTGCAGAAGGCAGCCAGTCAATGGAGCATCAGCTCAGGAACCAAGGGGTCATCGGTTTAATTCCCCGTGAGGGCACATGCCAGGTTGTGGGATCGATCTCCAGTGGGGGGCGTGCAGAAGGCAGCCAGTCAAGGATGCTTCTCTCTCATCTAAGTTTCTATTTCTCTTTCTCTCCCTTCGTCTCTAGAAATGATGCTTCTCTCTCATCAAAGTTTCTATTTCTCTGTCTCTCTTCGACTGGGAATCGAACTCTGACTTTCTGATTCATAGCTTGATGCCATCACAGCTGGGCTGTTGTGTGGGTATTATTTGTTTTTGTTTTTTTAACTAAAGGTGCCTGTGGTTTCCTTGACCCAATTCTTTCCCCAAGAACACTTAAACTCTTTTTCTCCATCAAGGCCTTTATTCAAGGTGCATTCCTTACTTTTGAACTCCCTTGTTCTGTAAGTTGGCCTAATGCCCTTCATCCATGGCCTAGGCTAGGGTATCCTTTTCTACATTACTGGACAGGCTGCGTGAACATGTATGCACTTACCATGTACTTAGCGAGCACTGCTCTGCGCTGGAGATGCAGTAGTGAAACACAGTCGTTGCCTATCAGTGGGAGGGTCAGACTCCTAGAAGCACATTCTGGTGCGAGGTGAGACATGGAGACATGGGATGACTTGCCTACGAGGGAGGCTGGGCGTGGGGAGGAGGGGGCGGGGAGATGAGAGAAAGGGAATGAATGAGTCATGTTCTCAGGCCCAATGCAGAGCAATCTCATTATTTGCTTTTGTTCTCACAGGCCAACGCCCAGAAAGTCTTACAGAAGCTGGGCGATGTGCAGGACATTTTCCAGAAGAGGCAAATGAGTCTGATGAAACTGGCAGCCAGACAGACCCGCCCAGTGCAACCTGTGGCCCCCCATCCTGAGTCCTCCCCAAAATGGGTGTCACCAAAAACCAGCCAGCCTTCTGCCTTGGGTAGGTTGTTTGGGGAAGGAAGCTTTGTGGCTTTGCCCCTAGGGTAGACCTTGTGGTTGTTAAAATGAGCAGTGGTTTAAAGATATGTAGTATTTACACCGAAACTGGTTTGGCTCAGAGGTAGGGCGTTGGTCTGTGGACTGGAGAGTCCCAGGTTCAATTCCGGTCAAGGGCATGTACATTGGTTGCGGGCACATCCCGGGTGGGGGGTGTGCAGGAGGTGGGTGGTCGATGTTTCTCTCTCATTGACGTTTCTAGCTCTCTATCTCTCTCCCTTCCTCTCTTTAAAAAGTCAATAAAATATATATTTTTTAAAAAAGATATGTAGTATTTAAAACAAAACCACGGATATGAAATGCTACAGGCATTGAGGACTAATGTGAAATTTGATAAAACTAAGTCCCTAGATGCAAAGAGAAGCTCGCAGTCTAGCAGAGGAATAATATAAATGAGCAAGCAACATCTGCATAAAATAGACTCCATTATGGACCTTTAAGAGTTAACATCAGATTCTATTAGCAATGGAGTGGTAAAGTTGGTTCTTCGAAAAGATTAAAGAAATAGATAACTCCTTATTACAATGCCACATAGATTTCTTTGTCTTTTTATTTAATTTATTAGAGGCCTGGTACACAATGTGTGTGTGTGTGTGTGTGTGTGTGTGTGTGTCCCTCAGCCCGGCCTGCACCCTCTCCAATCTGGGACCCCTCGGGGGATGTCTGACTGCTAGTTTAGGGGCATTAACTCCGTCCATTAGGAAAATCACACAGAATGTCCTTGACATACAAACAGTGTGGTTTTATGAGATGTTTTAATAATAATGGCCACCCCTTTAAATAATATCTGCTTACATACAATACAGTTGGTATTATGTGAATTCAGAATGTTAATATCACAAAATCATAGAAGGTTGTAGAGGAAATAACCTTGAATTGTCTAGTCTGCCATTTTATAAATATTGGAATTTCCTTTTCAAATATTTTGAATGCTTTTTGTCCTAAGATGCTTAACCAGGTTGTTCCCCGAGTGACCCCAGAAACTGGATTTCACAGTGGTCGGGAGCTTGTTTCCCTTCTGGTGGGAAAAAAGCCACGGGCCCAGTTGCCCCCCACCAGCCCGATTCGCGTGGCTCCGAAACTAGGCTTTTCAGCTTTTCAGCTTTTCAGTGCTTGTGCTCCTTTCTCTTTCAGCCAGCTTTCCCGGGGTTTGGTTGATAGACGTTTTGTCTTTTAGTTGTTGTTTTGAAATTGTTGTGGGAGGCGAGAGATTAGTTGCTCACCTATGCCGCCATCTTGTTTTTTTTCTCCATAGTTGTTTTATCTTCCCAATGTGCTGAACCTTTTATAGTTATAAAATGTCTCTTCTTTCCTTCTTATCTTTAGAAAAGCTATTTGTCTTAAAGTGTATATTAAAACAGCCATCCCAGCTTTCTCATGCTTTGTGTTTTCATGAGACACTTTTCCCATTATTCTATTTGTTTTTCTTTTAAAGTATATTTCTTGTAGGCAGTATATAGTTGGATCTTGCTTTTTAAATACATTCTGTCAACCTCTGCCTTCTAATTGGAGTGGTTAGTCTATATACAATGTAATTAAGGACACAGCTGGATTTAGTGCTATTACTTTGTTATTTGTGGTCATGTTTTATTTATTTTTCTGTTTCTTTTTTTCTACCTACTTTTGGGTTAGCAAATTTCTTGTAGTCTTCCTTTTTAATCCCTCTATTGACTTTTTAGCATACATACATCTTTGCATTGTTTTCCCCCAGATGTTTCTCTTAGGGATTATCATATGTATCCTTAATTTGTGTCAATCTACTTTGAGTTAATGTAGTAAAATATAGGAAATTTGCAGCAGTATAGTTCCACACACCTCCCACCCATCCTCTGTGCTATTCTTATAATAAATCTTGCATGTACGTATGTTAAGTCCCCCAATAGTTTTATAATTTTTTGCTGTAAGCAATCATGAATCTTTTAAAGAAACCAAGAGAAAGGAAAAAAAAAAAAAAAAAAATATATATATATATATATATATATATATATATATATATATATATTAACCATCCTAGTCACCATTTTCAGTATTCTTTATTTCTTTAACTGAATTACCATCTTGTGTCATTTCACTTCAAGATGAAAAACTGCTTTTAGCAATTCTTGTTGTGCAGTGCTGTTTGCAACAAATTCTTTCATTTGTTATTTGTCTGAAAATTATGGGATCTTTTGATAATTCTCCATTTAGTACAGCTGTCTCTTATATATTTCAATTTTCAGAAGTAAGCCTTGTAAACAGTTTAGTGCATTTCTTTTCTGAATTTTCCATACACACATACATATATACACAACACACTCAGACACACTTACAGGCACATACCACAGATACACACAAATACTGATACCCATGGAGACATCCCTCTTGAATGGCTAGAATCAGAATTTGATTCTCCTGATCTCTGATCTAGGGCTCTTTGCCAAAGCTAAATTATGTTTACTTCTAACTTTGCCTCAACACTTTGTCTCTCTCCTTATTTTAAGGGAGATGTGTTTGTTACAAATAAACAAAGCAGGAATGATGGATTATTTCTCAGCTTTTCAAATTCATGATTTTAAAATAGGTAATGATTCTCTTCAGGTAAATAGATCTTCAACATGTCTGAACAGGTACCATTGGCCTTGGTCCAGCAACGTGCTCCTTCTGCAGAGCAGTCCTATCCTTTTGTTCCGGAGAGTAACCACTGAGCATGGACTCTACTCAGGCAGGTCACGAACAGGATTTTCAAACACATTTGTCTGATTCCTCCGTAACTGAGTCTGTGCCAAGATAAACTCATTTTACAGTGTAAGGAACATGAGCAGGGAGATTAGAGATGGGAGCTGACAGGTCAGCTCTGACTCTTGTTAGCTAGTTGTCTTGGGTACCACATTTATCCTCTCTGAAATTAAATAAGGAATGTGAAAAAAATATATTTAATGCCATGTAGCTATAATAATAGCTAAAATGTACTGAGTGCTTACTATGATCTAAATACTTATTACATATTAGCTCATTGAAGCCTCCTCGTGACCTGATCCAATAGGCTTTTTCATTATCCCTTACTTTGTGGTTGAAGAAGCTAAGGCACAAAGACTCCTCTATAATGTGAGTCTCATAGATGAAAGAACAAGACTTAGATGATTGCAGTATGGCTCTCCCATCCCTGCCTCTAATTTTGTCACTGTACTTGATAGTGTTAAGGACAGGTGCTTCTCAGTCATGGGTTTTGCCAATTATAGTGAATGCATACCTGGAATTTCCCAGCTTTTCAGAGATCCTGCAGGAAGTGAGCAGCCCAGAGGATTGTCCATTGTTGTAGAGTAGCTTTAGTGGTCATATAACCTGGGGCAGCAAACATGTACTTCACTACATATTTCAACATGACCTCCATGAAAAACCCATGGCAAGGCTAAGCTGCTTCCATTTGGCTCACAGAACCTGAGGGTAGCAAGGGGCTTCTGAAAGTTAGATGGCCAACCTCCATCAAGGCCACCACAGATAAGAACCAGGATGATATAACTGTGACATTGGATAGATAAATGGCATTCTGACCATGGGACCTAGAGATGCTCAAATCCTGGCCTGGCTTAATCACCTGTATCCTGTGAGTTTCTCCAGGGAACTATAGATACAAGGTAGTGACACTGACAAATAAGAATGAAGGTACCACTTACCATATTACCCCTGTAGCCATCACCCCCAAGGCAGGCCTCTCAGTAAGTCCCAATCTTACTGCCAGTGGCCATGGAGCCTGAAAAAAAAGTTATCTCCCAGATGTCAGTGGGAAAGGGAAGCAGGGAAATAGAGTGATGGAGAGAAGAAATCCAGAGCAAGGAAGCCAAATTTCCCCGACTTAGCCACTGGTTCTTCCCACGGTCATATTACCCACTAATAAATATGATTCCATCTTTTCTGGAATCTAACTGCTAGGTCATCACATTAGCAACAACTCCTTCTGGCTAAGGCATGTATGGACATCCCCTCATAAAATCATAGTATGATGTGTGTGGTGTGTGTGTGTGGAGAGAGAGAGAGAGAGAGAGAGAGAGAGAGAGAGAGCGAGAGCAAGAGCATTTCAAAGAAGATTATAAGGAAATATACCAAATGGTAGTGTTCAAAAATAGTATGATTTTAGTAGTAGTCAAATTTTCTCTAATAAGTATAAATTAATTACCTGTATAATGAAAAAATATATTCAGTAGTATGTGACACCTAGACTTGAATTAGCTTTTCAAATCCAAAAATAACATCGAATACAGTACAAATGATAAATGCTCAAGCAGCAGTGTGTAAAAGAATTTGTGAAGTTTGAAAGTCAAGGAAGATTTTATAAAGAAAGTAATACTTTAGCTGGCCTTACAAAGAGGAATGATGGAAGCTATGGTTTTTACCACATCACATCGTTTACTGATTTGTTGTGGTTGGATGTTTCAAGTGGATTGGATGTGACTTTGTCTTTTCAGATCAATGTCAAGTGTCAGGGGTCAAGGACTCATTCTACGTTTGTATCTCTCCTTCACCTCCACGTTTACTTACCACCTCAGAAACCATCACAGCAACTCAGTTTAGTTTTCCTTATCAACTGCCTCAACACAGTCCAGCTGTTGTGCAGGCTAAGCGCTAAGTTATTTATAAGCCAAAATCACCATATTAATGGCCAGTTTTCTTTGTCCCTTTAGCTCCTCTTCAGAAAACATCTGAGGAACCTTATGCAGAAACAGATTTGGACTTACTGGTAAAGAAAGATGACAAGACTAAATATGAAGGCAAGGTAAGATCACCTTCCTTTTACCAATAGAGATTTCTGACATGACAGAATGTTGCTGCCATAATTATTAAGAAGCCAGCTTCCCCTGCTTCATGCCTATCATCAGCTCCAGAAAATATTCCTATAAAGGCATGTAGCATGGGCTAGTGCTTTCAAGAGCTGAGGTTTGTAGGATTTCTTCCCTTTCTTTCTTAATTACAACTAGATATGGAAAACTGGCCATGCACATAATTATTGGTAGATACTGTTTTATTGAAAGAAGTAATTTTATTCATTCTCATAATCGGACTTCATATTTAAAATTGGTAGAACAGTCTTGGCCAAGTGGCTCAGTTGGTTGGAGCATCATCCCATACACCAAAATGTTGCTGGTTGGTTGCTGGTCAGGGCACATACCTGGGTTGCGTATTCGGTGCCCAATAGTTGATGCTTTTCTCTCTTTCTCTTTTCCTCTCTCTCTCAAATCAATAAAACATATCCTCAGGTGAGGATTAAAAAAAAACGGTAGAACAGAGTATAGTTTATGTATAAAAAGCACATAAAAAAAACTGAATAGAGCTTCACACACACACACACACACACACACACACACACACACACACAGAGTGTATGTATAACTGATGAACTCTGAGTAAGCTCTATGTATTGTGCCAATGTTTCTTTCTTGGTTTTAATATTCTATTTATGGGGATGCAAGGTTGGTACAATATCTGCAAATCAATTAACATGATATACTGTGGGATCCCTTAACACGACCCGCATAGTTCAGGGCCCACTCAGGGTCCGGTTTCTGGAGAAGACCGCACACTAAAATGAAGAGACTGGAAAAGAGTTAATTTGGGAAAATGGGGGCCAGGCGGGAAGTCTACCTCTAGTGGGAAGACTAACCCCTCTCTGGCCTTTTACTGTTCCTTTTATTGGAGATTCTGAAACAAAGACATCTCTTAAGGAGGAAGTTCCAACAGCAGAAAATCAACTTACATTTACATATGATTAACAAATTAAAGTTGCCTCAAGCACCACTATCTCAACTATACAAAGAGTTAATGCCTCTGACCATTCAGAGCCATCAAGGTCGCATAGCTCTTTTTACATTTTATCTCCAATGACAATGCTAGGTTTTGGTTCCCTGTTCCTGGTTCCTGGTTCCAGGTTCCCGGCATCTCCCCCCAATTCCTTCCTTTAAAAAATCTTGCATTTATGTACCAGGAATAAAACATATAAGAACAAAAATTGTTTATGAGTCCCAATTTCAAAGTTCAAGAGTTCTAAGTCTAAGTTTCAATGTCTAAAAGTTTTGAGTCCAGGCTTCAATGTCCAAAAGTTCTTCACGTGTACATGTCACCAATGGTATCTGCATGATGGACAAATGGTGGTGATACAGGTCTGATCGTCTCTAGTTTGGTCCTGGACAACCTGCAGCAACACACAGCTACTGACTGCTGGCATGGCAAGGTGTAGTCAGCATCCTCCATGTCTGGACTGTTTCTCCTCCTGTCTTCATGGCTGGAGCATTCCTGCTAATTCCTCTGTTGCAGGAATCCACATGGTCTTGGAGTTTTCTGAAAATATACAAACATATCTCGACCAAAATTAGTAAAGGAGTTTTTTCTATAAATTTTACTTGGGATACTTTTAAAGTTTTGTCCAAACAATTTTTCTTTGACTTATTTTGATACTATGTGTGTTTTTCATGGCTGTCTTACTGTTATCATTACAAATGAAAATTGGTTTTCAAAAGAAGAAAAATTTTTCTAGATATAATTTACTTACAGGACATTTTGTCTTACATGGTATTTTCCACTATCCCCCTTTTTTCTATTTAATTGTTAGGAGGCTTTTGGAAAAAATTTTTATAATGCTGTTTTGATAACTTTTAAATTTTAATTCTTTGTACAAAAACTATGACTGCTTTAGGGTTTATTGTATGTTAAACAATTTTACCATGAAATGGACTACCAATAGAAATTTTGGTTAATACTTTAGGAACAGCCTGTTGTACAATTAAATTTTCTTGAATATTAACTCATTTCATTTAACCAATTTAAATTAATCTGAAAACTTGACTATTTTACTGTCAAATTTAATACTTTAACAACAATTTTAGTAATTACTCTGTAAAAATTAATGGAAAAGATTATATGCATCCTTGAGAAAGCCCTGAGCACTCATAGATTTAGGCTGGATTTAGATATAGGACAGTCGCCATCAGCCACTTATCTGTTGCCTGGGTCTCAATAAGAGCTGTGCCAAGTCTCTTGTTTGTAGCTGGGTCTCAATCTGAGCTGGACCAAATCTGTTTGTTGCCTGGGTCCCAATCTGAGCTGGGTATGGGAAGCGTAAAGCAGCCATGGGGCAGGAGACATCCCTCAAAAGGGCGTGTTCAAGCTCCTACAGCGTTGGGGGGGTGAGGATCTGTGCCCCACCTCTGTTGGCCCCCAAGTTCTCTCCTGATGGCCCTCTGCGGCTGTGCCTATCTTAGGTTGTCCCTCCCTTGAGGAATCTTACCCGTCATTGGCTAACCAGCCATCCTCCGGGGCCAAGCAGGGTGATGTGAGGTTCAGTTCTGTCTCCTTGGTAGCCTATGCCCCTATGGCCTCCATGCCCAGTACCTGCCTTGGGATCCCCTCGCCTGCTGGCGGGGCCCTGGCATTGATCACATATCTTGGGGAACCCAGGAGGTCCCAGCTCACGCCATTGGGCGAGAGACAGAACCATGGTACCAGCCACCATGAGGCTTCAACCTCAGCATGAACTGAAAACTCAAGCAACAGCTGTGGGCAATTGGATTGTGACAAGAGGGTCCCTCTTTGCAAATAAGGCAAGAAAGGCCAATATAGAATGCTCAAGCGCCTTCCCAGTGAGGCTTTCCACACAGTGGAAGGGATTAAATCCTTTCATGTCCTTTTAAATTGCTGCCAAACATTCAAAAATTAGATTTTTAATTTTGTTTGGAATAATTGCACAATATGCTATTGTAAAATATCAAAAATTATAAATGACATTGTAGAATAATACCATGCAAGGATATTCTTTGTTCTAAGCCAATGGCAATTCAAATTCAAACCGGCTGTCAATTTCTTTTTGTATAGACAAGGTCTTACATTCTCTGCACCTCTGCCAGGAGCAAGTAGTGATATTCCTCTACTTTGGTGCAAGCCAGAAACCTCTCTTTAATTTTACACACAAAGGAGCATTGGTTTGATTTTGTGTCATACAAAAAGAGAAGCTGGGTGGCAACACCTGTGTAATACTTCCTTGTCCCACCCATTTTCTTCCTGGATGACCAAGGTGTTTAGTATTATTGGTGACTACATTGGCAAGGGATCAGCCCACATAAGGGCTTTTACCCATGAAGGATCAGGAACATAAGTCCTAAACACTTCCACATTTGTCCCAGGTAATATTACCGTACAGATGAATACTGCTAACATGGCAAAAAAGACATTCTCAGGCGTCAGGCGTCTGTACCGTCTTCTTCACTATGCACCAGGAAAATTAACTGCTTTCCTTTGCCAGTAACAATACATGCCTATAAACCTTCTAAAATATTTATATTTATTAATTTTTGTTTGATAAGGCTTTCCATGCAATTTCAAGTATGTTAAATCTGTTTTAAAAATATTTCATTTAAGAAGAGAATAAATTTCTTGTATTACTCCAGGCCCTTGAAGCTTTCCAAGAATCATCTCTGTTAAGGCCTTGAAATTTTAACATGGAAAAAACCATCAAACAAATATCTATATCCATATATGATCTAAATATTATAATACCTTTTATTATTATCTTAAGATATCGATTAAATTTAGACTAGTTTTTGCATAGAAAATATTTGGTTGAGATCACAGAATTAATCCTCTTTTTCAATTAGACCAATAATCAACTTATTTTGAATTCCTAATTATTAGAGAAAACACACTTTTTATTTTCTCAAAAACAAGTTATACTTTAGGTATTTTAATTACCACAACTATATAATTTCTTCCAATTTAATTTGCACTTTGAACTTTTAAAGCTGGCAAATCAAATATATATTGCATGTCCTAGATTAATGACACTTAACATTTCTAAGAAAAATACAAGACAATCAATTAAGAGCTTCAATTCTGTCCTCTAGATTTTTTATGAGGCAAATTTAAACTTTACCCTTTTTTTTTTTCTTTTTTTTTTTTTAATAATTAAGCAATCTTCCACAAAAATTTTTGCCACAGGAGTTTGGAGGAAGTTTGTAGCCATTCAAATGCAAGTTACCACATTCCTTAGCGTACTGTGAGAGTCGTCTTCTTTATAGGATTGCCTTGTCTCTTTCTTTCTCCCACATCAAGCTTTCTTTGGGAGAAGTTTCAACAAATCTGGCCACACATTTTTTCATGCTTAATAAATACAGATCTCAAATTTTTTCTTTCTCTTTTGCTTTCTGAAGTAATAACTATCACCCAATTTGGCCAAGATAACACCCAACTTGCAAGTTCTTTTATAACTTTTAAACAAAGCCTTGAGTAATCTTATTTCAGGAGAGCAGATGGCTCTGCCCTCTCCTGCCATCTTTGAATTTCTTCGCACCAGAGGTGATTCCAACGGTGGAGTTTCATTTCTTATTACAGATTTTAAATTCCAAATACAAACTAAGATTTTAATTTGCACAATAAACCACATTCTTTAATCATACAAACCAAAATTTTATAATAAAATTTACTTTAAATTTATAACCTAATTCTTCCCCATTAGCCTGGTTAAAAAGGACGTTCCCACCCTACTTACAGTTCGCGACTCTGCAGCTGGCCGTGGGCTTTTGAGTGCGGTGAATTTCCCTCACCTTTTCTCGGTGAATTTTCCACACCTTTTCTCCGTGTATTTTTCCTCCTTCGCTCTAGGCGAAAAATACCTTCTCCTCCAGTAGTCCCGCGTTGAAGGCGCCAGATGTGGGATCCCTTAACACGACCCGCATAGTTCAGGGCCCACTCAGGGTCCGGTTTCTGGAGAAGGCCGCACACTAAAATGAA